ACATTACTGATTCAGAATAGAGAGAGATAGTAACATTGATCTCAGAAATTATGATTAAAGGATTGTGGTGGTTTACAGTGACATAATATTAGGTAGTCCTTCGTGCCAATTGTGGTGAGCAACATGATTACTGTATGCCTGCAATATGCATTTTATGATCCAAGTACCGGTATCTAGTAAATGTGTTTATTACTGATGCTTATATTTGAATGGAGTTTAACATTGTTTTCCTACAACAAAAATTGTATGGGCAAATTTACTACTAGATGTGAGCAACTGAACATCTATTTTTTAATGAGGACTGATAAAGGCTATCCATTATTAATAGACAAATGTTTTTTTAAATCTAAGAGAAACTATATCATGAATGAATTAATCATCTATGATATCTGTATCTTTTATGAAACATCCTTTATGCTCATTGGGTGTGGACTGTGGTCATGCACAAAATTTTTCTATTCAACCTTTATAACACTGTCATTGGGGTTCTGTTCTTTAGTTAATGATTAAAGATGATGACTCTCTCCTTTTTGTTTGCACTTTTATTATGCCTGCAATTAGATCATGGTAAGTACATACATGTCATTGCTAATTCTGTATAGTAGATTCTAGATCTAGCTTGTATAAATAACTATTTTTTGTTATTGTAGGAGAGAGTTATAATAATTCTGCTACTAGTTTTTACTTTGGATTAATGACAAGCAGTGGATATTTTACAATTTCGACTTTGTCTCCTCTCAATGTCACATATAACATTACTGTTCAATCATTAAATTATACTCGTAATGGAATAGTAACAAAGAATAGACCAGATTCATATGTGTATCTTGCTTCACGCTTTTATACACGTTCTAGTTCTTTTGCAGATCGATTTAAGGGAATTTATGTCACTAGTGATCAACCAATAAGTGTATCATTTTTCGATTTTTATTATGAGTATCTCATTTTACCATATCATGAGTACCCAGGAGTCAGTCAGTATGAATATTATGCTGTTTCTACTAGTAGTTATTACAATGATACTCTTAGTCAAGTTCTTCTTGTTGGTTGTATTAATAATACTGTCATTAGTATTATACCAACAGTTGATCTCTTCATTCCTATTGATGTACAGAAGAATGGCAGTGATGATATATTAGTAACTAAAGGTAACTCTCATACTATTACACTACATGAGGGACAGACTCTATTGCTGGGTAAAGGGAATGGAAGTGATATATCAGGAACACACTTTATTTCTAATAAACCACTGACTGTTATTACTGGTCATGAGTGTGGCAGTACTCCTAATATGATAGAACGCTTTCGTTGTCATTCCATACAGTTACAAGTTCCTCCAACAATAACTTGGGGTAAAAAATTCATTCTGACAAACTTTAATAATCTACGTGACAGATTACTATATTCTTCTTATATAAAGACAGTCACTTCACAAGCCAACACTAGTATAACAATATACTGTAATGGAACCACTAACACTACAAGATACTCTACTAATGGTGCAGTTGGTTCATATGAGTATAACATAATTGAATATTGTTGCATGGAGGCTGATAAACCAATATTTGTTGTTCTGTTCCCTCACTCATATTACTATTATACTACTATGGTATTGATACCACCAATGGAACAATATCTACATAAAATTGAGTTTGATCATGTTGGATATTTTTTTACTCGTTATTCAAAGCTTGTTATTACAGCATCAGTTGAAGGATTCTCTCCTACAGCTATTCTACATAATGGACTAGCAACTACAAACTGGACAGCAATATATGATTCTAAAAGGAATATTGTAGCATACGGAACTGAAATTGAAATTAATAGATATTATAGTAATCATTCAGTAGTTCATACTGGTAGAAATGGAAAATTATTAGTTCAAATCCAGGGGTATGGCTATTATTCTTTTATCCATGGAAGGCCAGCAGCAGTTTCATTAGAACCAAGTAAGTATTCATACATGTTATTACTTTAAATAAATGTACATGTATTTTTGTTAGGTGTCATTCCAGTTTGCAATTTTTCTTGTGGTAATGGTAACTGTGTTGCTGATAACTTGTGTCAATGTTTTGATGGATGGACTGGAGATCAGTGTGATGAAGGTATGGATCAACTATATACATGAATTGTATAGCAGTAGATCTGGATCTATTACATTAAATTAATTTGTCTAGTATTATGTAGTCCAGTATGTGGTAATGGATATTGTGTACCAACTAACAGTTGTGTATGTAATCCTGGCTGGACTGGAGACAGGTGTAGAACAGGTTAGTTGACACAATTATATGTATGATCCTACTTACTTGCATGAACAGATATTAATGAATGTAGTCTTGATATGTGTAATCAAATATGCATAAATACTCAAGGATCATATACTTGTGAGTGCAAAATTGGATATCAGTTTATAAATGACAATTCAACTTGTGAAGGTAAAATAATTAAATACATTGTTACTTAAACTTTTAATATGATGCACATGTTTACACAGATATTAATGAATGTGAGACTGTTGATCACAATTGTACACAAACTTGCAGTAATACAGTTGGATCATACACCTGTTCTTGTAGAGCTGGATATAAAGATAATGGATATGGAAACTGTACTGGTAAGAGTATAAGTTGTACTTTGTAATGAAAAAATGGTAAAAGAAGCCTTTGTTCAGCCATATTTTGTATTCTTTGTCAATCAATTGTAATAACCAAAAGGCAGTCCTTTTAGAATTAGATTTTTAAGACTAATGGTAAACATGTTATGTGACTCCTTTGTAGTATACCCACCTACCCACAATCTAATTACTGTTCTCTTTGTAGTGTTGTTACTCAGTATTCCTTTCCAATACATGTACATACAGATATTGATGAATGTTCAATGGGTACCAGTGGCTGTCAACAACTCTGTTTTAACACTAATGGAAGCTATTACTGTCAATGTAATACTGGATACAAACTAATGAATGATAATTCATCTTGTGATGGTATGTACAGTTACTGTATATTGTGTGTATTGTGATACAATCTTCATTTAG